TAACAAAATGATACGAGATTTTTTGATAAAATGAGAAACGATATAAAGAAGTGCTTGTAGATGGTGGCCGTGCATGCGGGTAATATAATTTGTGCGCGTTTAACCGAATCGCTATGGCTGCGGTACTTGCAACGGAGTGGCAAATTGACTGTATTTGATGTTGATAAGAGCACATCATCTTGTGATGAAAAACAATCGTCGACCAGCAATCACTCTAAAAAGTTGATTATCAGTGATGATCACGAAAGCTGGCATGAACCTAGCTTACCACCTCCTATGCCGTTATTGCCGTCATCGATGAGGTGATCTATTATTTTGTTATTATTATCCTTATTACTGTGAGTGAAAGTGTACGATCCCAGTTAACAGTACCTCTCTTGTTACCATCATTACTGCTCAAAATGTTTACAAGCTGATTTGATATGAGCTAATCATGCATTATTCCACTCAGAATCAGTAAGGTCATTTAACCTGAATTGATCTTTCATCAATTCAATTAATAATATTTTGAATTCGTTCAAAAAATCTAATCCATTCAACAGTGTACATCGTAGCAATTACCGTATTTTTAGGAAACAAACGGGTAATCCACCATGCCAGGGTGCCATACCGCTGTGTGCTTCGAATCGAACCAGCGAGTCTTCATCGAAATCTCAAAAACACGCAAAGTGATTACTGTTCATATTCTGAGCATTATACGTAATAAAGATGGAATATCTTCGTAAACTGTGTCTCTTTCACTGATACATCAGCGAAATTATCAATGTTGAACTCATGTTATTTGTTTCAATTATTCATTCTTATTATCATTATCATCGCAATAATGAGAATTGCAACTGCAAAAATGTAAATCATCAATTTAAAACAAACAAATAAATAAATGAAAAACTATTTGTATGTAAATAAAATCAGTGTGAATGGTTTGAAATGATTGAATTGAATGTCAAAATATAATGCGTATTATCACGTCTTACAGGGCACGTTCTTATTATGCGAGTGAGCGATTGTGAGCAGACGGAAGCATTCATGCAATCTAACAAAATGAAAGGGATAAACATAAATAATGTTTTTTTTTGTTGTTTTATTTGGGTTATTTTTCTTGAAATGGCAAATTGGATGTAATAATAGTCAATGATTTTGTGCGATATTATCCGCTGATACTCGTGTTCATTTTGTTTGTTAATTCATTATTTGTTTTGTTCTGTTTTTTTGCTATTTATAAGTTGTCTTTCAACGTTGTGCCATATAATTTGTGAATTTTTTTTGATTGATATTTTCACACACATTTTAATGTATATACAGTAGTGGAATTTGAGGTATTTCTCTATGTATGACCAACGCATAGTTACAGTCGTAATCACTTGATTTGTTGATCAACCAGAAAATCTTTTGAACTACCTACCTACCTACCTACTGATATCCTCGAGCTTCANCTACCTACCTACTGATATCCTCGAGCTTCATTTCAGCATTATTGTTTGGTATCAGCGCTGCATGCAGTTGACAAGGAAGGTATTAAAAATGAATAAATTTTTCGGGAAATGACAATCGATGCTGAATATCAAACGATAAATCCAAACTGATAAAGGTTATCACAATGATAGTGATGAAGTAATTGATATTTCGAATAAATTATTTGAAAAACTTCATTTATACTTTGGTGTATTTGTATATGCGCACATTCTGTTCAAACCACTTCATTCATCATTGCGTTTCTGTTGTTGTTCTGTATTTGTTTCACTACTTTTATCGTAAAATATCGTAAAATTTGTCCGACTCAACTGCTGCGATTGGAAATCGTTACACCACAGCAATAGGGCAAAAACTGATGCAAAGCAGTCGAACTGATGACATGGTGAAGCGAAAATTACGAAGTGATTGTGGAAATTATATAATTAGCTACAGTTCCTAGACAAGGATCGACCAAATTTATTTGGAAATCTCTTGCATGTTAATTAATTCGACTGCAGATTATTACATTATAAGAGGACCGACAAGAAAAATCGAAATTGGGAACAGATAAAAGGCAAAGTAACTGGAGTTCAATAAAAACATGACTGGATAATGTGGAATAACATAAGACATTTGAAGACTCAAAAAACTGGTTCAAATTAACGAATATCGGGAACAAAAGAAAAGCCGTGTTCCGGAAATCCCTCAGTGGCGTGAAGGAAATTAAATTTTTGGAATGGAAGAAGTATTTTTAGAATCTTATTTATCGATAGCTACTGGTGCATTAAGTCTGAAATTCCCATTCTACTTTTCAAGCATCATAATAATAATGCTCAACTGGGTTTTATGACATTTCGAAGTTCACTTCAATCTCTGAAACTGTCCATAATCATGCCTTTATGATATATTCCATCCTGAGAATTAATTTACAGTTCGATTTAAAAGCAAATCCCTCTCAATTTACACAACACAAACTGTTACTCGATTGCATTTCTGCTCTCATCACCATCATCATTTGCTTTGTTGGTGTTGTTCGTATTACATGTCTAGCCTTACATATAACGGGATGTCAAAGAGTTGTTGGGGAAAAGGAATATGAGGAGGGATTTAATAACTCACAAAGGGATACAAAGGGCTACACTCAATTATGGATGGCCACAGCAGACAGGATATCTTACGAATCTTGCAAATGCAAATGTTAGTCACATGATTCGTTAACCAGTCAGTCATCAATTCATTCAGACGTTCGTTCGTTCAGCTGATTTCTGCTCATCTGTATTTGTATGGGGCCTTCTTCTGTTTCACCGTCCCTCTTCACCGACCCTCTAACGGTTGCAGTGATCCTTTCTTTATCCCAACATTGCTATATCCCCTTCTCATCTCTATCTGCTCATGTTTGCATATATAGCGTTATGCTATACGCCCATTGTTGTCATTATCCTCATCGCAATTATCATTATCGTTCGCTGCCCTTACCGCACTGCGAGGCCACAAGCTTAGTAGAGACGAAGTCCCTGAAGTGCTCTAACGGCTAGTCTGGTTAGCAGGCACATTCATTGTTTGGGTGCTGTTGTATGCTGTGGATAGCTTGAATCCTGTTTTTTGCAGTCATATATTGATTGCTTCCAGTGGATTGTTTGGTTGCATATCTGTTTTACTTACTGACATATGTAGATATAGATTTCTCAAGTCCTTTTATTCATTAGAGATCCACGAAAAGCATTTCCATTCAATCCATATATTCCTTGTTGCAGGTGTCAACGATTCAGAATGGTATCGTTCGTGCCTCATTATTTTGTTCCGCTGCCACTCGTCCTATCCCTATTTCCAACTCGATATTCACAAAGGCTACAA